AGATCAGCGAGTATTGTGATCCACGGAACATACAAGTATGCAGTTAGTTTGGGAAACATTGATCTACACGATATTCGATACAACCGATACTTACAGTAACGGCTCTACTTATTTTAATAACGTAAATGCGAATGTATACTACAGGCCTCCTGTTATACCGACACGTTATAACGCGCAATACTTTACTGGCAACCAACTGCTGTCAATGTTAAAAGTTGTTTTAGTAGTTACTACGTGATAAATACAGGTTGATATTATACAATTATTTCATCGATGTAAATCAGCGTGCAATAATCCATCGGACCGGAATGTTTAATGATTGATAAGCTTTCCAATTGGTTAGAAGATAACTTTTGAGGACTCCCGTGGCGCAGTTGCCAAGGTATTGGCTTCGGCGTCGGGGTTCGTGGGTTCGATTCCCACACGGGACAACTGTTTGTGTGACCCACAGATAGTTGTTTCGCATCTGGGTGTTTGTCCTTGTGAAATTTATGTTTGTAAAACGTCCTTACAACACAGGATATATATACAAGTATACGGAATCTCGGAAACGGCTCCAGCGATTTTCATGAAATTTAGTATGTGCGTAGATTCGGGGGCGGTAATCGGGTGGCCCCAAAACAGACGGCCGCGGTTCGGATTTACATACTTATTTTTTTACTTTTTTTTCTATTCCAGATCATTGCTTTCGTTATTTTTTATTTTTTGTTGATTTGTTTTTTTGTTATTTTTTCCCCCTTTTTTTAAAGTTCTTTCTTTTGTGAAAAACACCAGTTCATATTTTCTTATTATTACTTCGGTAAGATCGAAAAATATTATGCATATTTCATTACTCAGTAATTTGTACCTAAATGTAATTTCCAAAATACACGATTTACAAAAAAAAAAAAACCGAGCAATGCTCGGTCCTCCAGGTACTATATTTAATTCATGCATAATATACGAGTAGTAGAGAAACACTGATAATTTTAAAGGCTTCTAATGCGTGCGAATCCGGGGTGGGTCGCTAGTTGGAGATAAATAGAAAACATTACCTGACTGTCTGGAAGATATGGAAAAGTATTAATATTTTTCTTAATGTTGGCCTTCTGCTAATGCCGTGGAACTATGCCCGTTTAAGAAACCGTAGAAGTTACTGAATGACTCTTTTTCAATTATAGGACATACCAGTATTATTCTTACAATCAACCTTAGCTATGGTTCTTGTTTAATCATTTATAATTATAACAATGATATATTTTACTGAAATTATATATTTGTTAAATGTAAATTAAAACTAAAAGTAAGCAGCCAATTAATATCACTGCTGAGCGGGCTTTCTTTAATCAGAGGGTTTTAGGGCATAGTCGAAATGTTTGCATTGTTGGTCGAGTACTGGCACCGGGATTTGAATTTAGATTCTCGAGTATGTTGAATATCAAGCTAGTGCTCAGATACTAAGCTATTACTATTATAAATTTTACTTACATTGCAATGAATTTAATTAAATCTCGCGAACATTTAATGAAGCGTTTCAAATTCTAAGCTGAAGCAGCAAAAACGGTGTTAATTGCTTTTGTTAAAACGTGTCTATTAATTTTAGACAGCTCTGAAGCTGGTGAGCGCAGATAATAATTATTATATTTACGCGATTACTACACATTTATGAATGAAAATGATTCCGTCTGTTCCATGGCCATATACGCTGTAGGAATCGAAAGGTCGGAAATTGAAATATAAAATGGAAAAAAACGAACGCGCTAAGTCTGTACATTTAGAAATGGTCAGCGCTTTTAAATGATATTCAGAAAAATTCGGGTATCGATTCATTGGAAAGTGAGCGTTTGAATGTTTGCACACAGCCCAAAGAAAACATTTGTCACATCTATGTTTGCTTTAAAAGAATGGGGTCACATTGCTCAGTCACGGACTTATACACGGACATTGGCGGGCTGTTAAGTGAATACCGCCGCCCATGGACATCTTACACTCGAGGGTTACAGATGCGTTGACAACCTTTTGAAAATTGGGCTCCGGCTACCTCACTCACCAGACGAAACGCGAAGGTATTTGTCATATTTCCACTTTACGCCGGTCTTCTGTGAGGTCGTGGTACTTACCCGGACGGGCCTGCCCATTCGTGCAACAGCCGAGGCTGCTGCGTGGCCCTACCACCGAGTATTGGCGTTCTGTCTTGTATCCGATTTAATTTTCGCTCAAATCACCCTAGCTCCAGTTTTCAGCGAAGTTATTAACGTGTCAGTCTCATCACTTTTTCTCCATGACTGTCGCGATATTAATACGTCGCGACGTAAATCGTTTGCTACATCTATGGCTCGTATAATCTATACAGCTAAATAATATTGGAGTGTCTGTTTATGACATTAAAATAACCGCTTTTTACTAAATGCATATGGATGTTTACACGGTAAATATACTAAAATAACATTTTTTACAATTTTTGTCTGTCTGTCTGTTTGTTCCGGCTAATCTCTGAAACGGCTGGAACAATTTTGACGGGACTCTCACTGGAAGATAGCTGATGTAATAAGGAGTAACTTAGGCTCCTTTTATTTTAGTTTTTTTTTTATTTTAAATTCCACGTGGACAAAGTAGCGCAACAGATAGAATCTATACAGAGAAATAAAATTGGAGTGTCTGTTTGTAATATTAAAATAAACGCTTTTTACTAAAGGCATATGGATGTATACACGGTACATATAGCAAAATAACATTTTTTACAATTTTTGTCTGTCTGTCTGTCTGTCTGTCTGTCTGTTTGTTCCGGCTAATCTCGGAAACGGCTGGACCAATTTTGACGGGACTTTCACTGGCAGATAACTGATATAATAAGGCTACTTTTATTTTAGAAATTTTATTTATTTAAAATTCCACGCGGACGCAGTTGCGGGGCACAGCTAGTAGAAAATAAGAAGCGACCAACAACGCGAGAACATGGGAAATTATCAGTGATGGTGACTTTGACCGCGATCACTTTTCGCCCGTAGAAAGCAAACGGTCTCCGAACGCGTCGCCTCCGCAAACTAGTTTAATGGCGGACATTTATTCAGATATTTTCACTTATGCTAATTCGATAAATTCACTCGTGCCCATGTGAACTATCCGGGCATTGTGTGTAATAGTAATCTCGATGAGCTTCTACTATATCCGTCTTGGTTGAGCTTCTTCCGACTCGTTCATTTTGTGTAAGACATGTTTTTTTTTTGTTTATTATTTATATGTTCAAAGGTGCGTACAACTAAATATCTTGTAACAGATTATGATTGCGTTTATCACCTGAACAATAGCCCGTTTACTTCCACTGGTTGCTGGGGGCCGATGTAAGGTACAATTATTTATATTTCATTTCGTCTGGTCAGGAAGGTAGTTGGAACCCCATATAGGTTCGCAGCGCAAATGCGATCCGACGGATGATTTATAGGTCCATGTAAGGAGGTGTTGTGAATATTAGATGGATTCTAGTTTGTGCTTTACTGTCATAATTATTTTACAAAGTAATTCATGCGTCTATGAATGTAAATAGCATATGCTCTACTTTATTCTTCTATGTTATGTGAGAAAAAAATACATTTGATAATAATGTTATTTGAATCTTAAAAAGGCACCATTGGTTTAACGGTAGTAACATGTTTTTTTTTTTAATTCCAGGTCCAAAATGACGACGCATGTCACGTCACACATATCGCGGACCACTGTTGTCTGGTTAATACTAGCATTGGTAAACGTAAGTACATACATTAAAAATTTCTTATTACTATTGTTTGTCGTTTTGGTGATCCTAAATAAAATGAAGTAAAAATAATAAATAAAAAACTGCAATAACAAAAACAATACAATTCGATTTAATTAATAAAAGTAATATAGTCAATGGAAATTTCATAGGATATTATTATGATACAACAACATTTAATTTGATAACAAATGTTACATTTGTTATCAAATTATATTTCATAAAAATATCGTTTATTTAATGTAACATCACACTGACATTGGCTTTTTAATATACTTTAATTGAGGCCATTTGTTAAGTTGTAATAAGAGGTTTGATACGAAATGATGATAACATGCAGTAACGAATTATTTATTTTAAATGTTATAATCTTGGAGTTAATACATTGAAAGATGTTTCTGTAACTCATATGACTTAATGTATGTAATCAATGCCGTATTACTGTGTTATTGAAATTAATTAAGCAAAAAGGCTCATAATGCTCATAACAAAATTAGTAGAATTAACTACAATGTAAGTTATGAAATGTCTTATTTCATTAAATACATAGTCTACATTTAAGTAATATGTTAATGTAAATTCATAAGCAATATTTAAAACTCTCTATCTCAGTTTTTATAAGGTAAGTAAATATGGTATATTTTGAAAGTTATTTTATAAATTTTACAGAGAAACTTAAAGAAATAAATATAGATTTTTTAAACATTGAAGATGTCTAATAAAAAGTTTACGGATACGATTAAAGAAGAAATAATGTAAATGTTCACATCGTTTATAGTTTTGCAGAAGTAATTGAATTGGCTGATGAAATGAAAACAAATGTTCAACGGTCGAGAGTAATCCGCAATTTATAGAGAATGAATCGCCGTGTTCTCGACGAAACCGATTCTCCGTTTAGTACCGCTTTTTCTATCGTTCGACCCCGTTCCGTAAAAATCAGCATCCAGGCGGCTTTTCGTTCTTAAAAATGTTGCCGTAAGTCTGAATGAGTGTCTACAACACACTTTTTTATATTAGAAGGAAATAGTGAACATTTATTTTACTTTGTTTATGCCCCGTAACTTATTATCACGAGTCAATTTGACCTAAATAGAAGTTTAGCGTTCTTGACCTAACTTCTTGAAATAACTGATTTATGTCAACTATCGAGTTTTAAAAGTCGCTTTCCTAATTTGTATCTATCACCCTTATAAATTCAATCTAGGCCTTCGAACTCAAAGATTAATTCACGCCGAGAGGACTGTTAGTAACTATTAACGAAAAATCTTTAAGTGTGTTTGTGTATCCCCTTTTCGGCGCGACAACAGTCTCGATAGCATCGGCTAGTTGGAAGCGAGCGGGGCGACCTCCGCTTGGCGACAAAAAGCCAACCTAGAACGTCGGGTAGCCAGAATCGGACCGTCCTTGTCGAGGTCGGGCTAGAACCCGGCCCGGCGAGTTGGCGCGCGCGCCGCGGCACGTGCAAGAAGCGCCCGGCTTTCTCATCTGGCCGGGTGTCGGCCGCGTCCGCTCCATTTGAGCCGCGTCCGCCGGCACACATAGCGGACATATTGCACGCGTGCAACTGGACCGCGCGGCAAAAACATACGGATAGGCTAGGTGCGGAACGCTAGATTGTTGCGCGCCATTCGAATCCGTCCGGCTCCGTTTCGCTCCCGCTGTCGGGAGCGCGTTCCCGGGTCCCGTCGATTCGGTGTTTGTTATATGAGTTGAAATACGTTAAGGAACAGGCGTTCCCAGGCTGCATCTCCTCAATCAGTGATTTTTGAAGTTACACTTCTTTTGGCGCGTTTGGAAAAAAATATGGGTGAAATTCTTACGATGCGCGCGCACTGACCCTCAAGAAGCGACATGATGTATGTCAACTTTTTGGTATTTACCAATAATTCCAAGTTATTTAAATAAACCGTTATCAATTGTATTTAGGATCTGGGTGCATGTTCGCGTAAAATTTATGTTGCCTGTCCTTACAACACAGGATAATGTAAAACCTACAGTAAGGACAATGTTTTTTTAATAAAAATAAGAAAAAAATAAATTTAAAATATAAACAGTAACTATTTCGTCTGTCACTATAGGTTCCAAAAATGTTCTTCGAAACACACGAACCAATGACGATTGATTAACAAAATACGACTGAATCACATCGGTCGAATAAATTGGAATCACGATAGAATGCACCACACAAACCACGGCCTAAGTGCTAACAATGGTACACAATAGATCTCGTTACGAACCGATCTCCAACATCGATAAGGCAACGTAATTCAACATAATGAGATTGCGATATAAGCTAAAACAATAAAAGTGAAATAACGTTTGTAATCCACCTATTGCAAACTCCACTGGCCCAATCTGGAGCAATAGTAGAAAATGGAATCACAAACGAAAACATTTGCATTACTAGTTGTTACGTCTTGTAGTCTTAAGGGCTTGCAAAAATAGATAGCGACCGTTTTTCAGTTTTTATACAACGGTTAATTCGTTACTGAGCGTCGGGAACAAATTAGAGACAAATGCCATGTTTCTGAATGGATTTTGATCGTTAAGAAGATCATTCTGATGAAGTCAAAAAGTTTAACCATCATTTTGGCAACTCAAATGACATTTGACAAGCCATTTGACAGCTGATTAGTTAATTTCTACGGTGAGCAGTTTATGTTGCAGAGCATGTTTCAGAAACCGGACGTCTAACCAGGTCTTTACCTTAAATAGTGAAGATCTTAAGTAAACAACAATATGTTGCTATAGCTAATGTTTTGTATAAGTTATGAATTGGATAGCTCGATGCTATGTGATGGTAAGTGACATCGTCAGGCCGAGTCATTCCAAGGGGCAAATGTAACATCATCATCATCATCATCATATCAGCCGTAGGACGTCCACTGCTGAACATAGGCCTCCCCCATTGACTTCCACTTCGACCGGTCGTTAGCGGCCTGCAAATGTAACAAGGCCGTGGTAAATTGGTCAACATCTTTTCAGTGCACATTTTAAATAGACATTTTTACACACAGTAGAAAAAACTGACTACTTAACTAATTAACTCGAAAAAATACAATTTGGAAAAATTGGGTCGATATCCGTATTGAATTGTTTATTTATAGTGTTTAAACCTAGTTTTGTTTTTAAGTTACATTCTATTAATTCAACGCAACAGAAATACAGCGTTATTAGATTATTTTTGTTTCTCATTTGAAATGAAGCATCACAGTATTAAATGTGTTAATTTCGGGATGAATCACACCAGGAAAATTCTTGGAGAGTCATGAATAGCCTTCTGACGCCACACGTCCTGTCGCCGTTTAATGGCTTGTGAAAGTCGTGTGAATACGACAACACGTGGGAGCCATTGTGCGTGTCACATACGTTGGGCTCAATTATCTATGGTTAATTGCTGGGAGACCTAGTTTGGTATTCTAACGGATTCCTCCGGATAATTATTGCGAACTGCGACCAATCAAACTTCTTAGGGCTAAATCGAGTTATTTTTTTGAGCATGTTTAAATGCCTTAAACCGTTTATGAATTTAATGATGAGTTTGGCGCAAAAAACACGTCAATGGTAAGAAACTTCGGGTTTATTATAACATTTTGATTTACTGTATCGATGGAAATAAACAATTCAAATAAATGTATGTTTCATCCCGGAGTGAGATTTCAGTTCAGTCAATGTTTGAGTTTTGGACTTAAACTAAAGTTAGTTTTTATTTTAGTTTTAGGTCACAGCTTAAAATTAAAATATGTTTTCCTGGCTGCTGCCCGCGACTACGTCTGCGTTGAATAGGCTGAAGGCGTAACATCCAGACAGAAAGTCTGATATACATAAAATATGTATATAAATTATAGCCTATGTCTTATTCTGATGTATAAGCTATATTATTGTAAAATTTCATTACAATCTATTTAGTAGTTTTTGTGTGAAAGAGTAACAAACATCCATCCATACATACAAACTTTCGCCTTTATAATATTAGTAAGGATTTAAACCGACCAATTTTGCCTAACCTAACCTAACCTAACCTAACCTACTATATCATGTCTATAACCTTGACACCTGCCATGATATAAAACCTGATCATTGTTACAATAGCGTAGTGTTCCTGTGCTTACTTACAAATTTGCATTCGGAATGACATCCTTACAACCGCTTTCTTCGACCTTTGTTAGCTGACAATACATGTGCGTCCTGCTTCAAGGCTGATGGTAAATTGCCAGTTCCAGCCGCTGCATACGAACTCCGAATGAATAAAACATCCGTGGCCTATTCCGCCAGATAACAGAGTTCGTGTTTTACGTGAGCCGAATGGAGGAACGGTAACGGACGCCCATTCTCCCATCCATTGGGCTCTGATGCATATGCAGATCTTACATTGAAGTCCCGTCTTGGATTCCTAACGGTAACACTTGAACAATGCGATCTCTGAACACATCGGCAAGGTTTCAGCCAACGAAAGTGATATCGATCCGGTTTGTGGTGTGGTGCGTATTTGTATCGGTCGCTCGTCCGTTTTAATTGCTCGTAAATACGGTAAACGTGTGAATTTGTGGTCGGAAGCGAAAGGGTAATGCGTCGTACTGGTTAGCTGAGGCTATTAACGTTAAGCGTGAAATATTAGCTCTTGGACATTGCATTTGGGCTTGAATTTATAACGGCCCCCGACGTGGGTGATCCAGCGGTTGGCAAAACATGCAAAATAATGTTTAATTTCTTTGTGACGTTAACCAATAGTGATAACGAATATAGAGAGAGACTCGTGAGACTTTCTTTTTTCAGTTGCGAAGGTATTGGCTTCGGTATTGGATATTGTGGGTTCGATTCCCACTCGGAACAGCTATGTAAATATTTGTACAACCCACAGATAATTCTTACGGATCTGGGTATCTTGATCTTCGTGAAATTCGTCTTACAATACAGAATAATGTTATCATTATGCACTAAGGGCAATGTGCTTTAGAATAGAAAAAGAAAAAAAATCAATTTTATTCTAGGAAATAGAGTTAAACTTTGTCTAATTTGAAGTTCAATTTTGTTTTAGGTTTAGGTTTTAGCTAAGATTTTAAAGTTTAGGTCGTTTATAATTTGATAGGTCAATACCTACCGATGGCTATTAAATCGTAAATTTATATCGGATACATGATACGGATCTATGAAAAATAGGAGGTACATTTTGTAGTCCTTTGGAAATAAAGTAGTGGGAGAGAGGGACCATGTAATAAGGGTTCCGTACCTAAAGGGACGCTTTTACTAAGACTCCGCAGTCTGTCTGTGTCTGTCTGTCAGTTACTAGACTGTATGAATGGTGATAGTTAGATAATTATTTTTTTTACAGATGATGTATTTCTGTTGACGATATAGCAGCAAATGCTAAAAACTATAAAAAAGAATATTTAATTTTGGCTCCCATGCAACAGGCATGATCTTTTTGCCGTTTTTATAGATAATGTTACGGAAAACTTCGTCCGCGAGTCCGACTCGGCCCGTTTTTTTATAGAGTTTCATCTTAACTACTTAACATTATGATTTCCGATAAAGAAAACTAGCGCAAAGGGAATAATTATCGAGTATGTCTGTGAATGAGTAACTGCCCTTCAATATGAATTGAATAGTAATTTCGCTTTCCATACGGCTACGGTTAAGCGTTTGCAAATCGTTTCAATGCTAGTCGTAGTAGTGTAACAAGTTGTTATCATACCGGCGATAGAACGAGAATGATGTTGTTCAATATTATACAACACAAGTTTAACACGACCTAAGCGGTTGTATTGAAAATAGATACATTAACCATAACAGAAAATTTTAATGTTTAAAACGTCATTTTTCTTTTTTTTATCTTTATTTTATTCATTTTAGTCATTTTTCTTTTTTTTATCTTTATTTTATTGATATTCCCTGTCTATTCACTAAATACAGTCTATAAAAATTAGAATATCTTCTGTCATAAACTCACTACTGAGGTACTAAGTTCTTTTAATACCTAGTCCACTCTCTGCTTGTCCTAAAATAACTATTGGTTTCATAAAAATTGAAATGGGTCTTTACAGAGTCCATTATTATCTACACTAATGAAATAGAATTTTGTCATACTTTTAATACTAACGAATAAATAATTTACAGAATTTCAAACAGAATTTACTGAAAGCGACACAGGGGAAAAGATAAAAAATAAATAGATAAAAAGCAAGACAGTCGGCCAAATAGTTATTGCTTATTAGGCAATTAAATTCCGTATATCACGAAGAGGCCGCAGGCACAAACCACTAATTTTACTATGAGAACGTGTTTCTTACCCGTTTAAATTCCAGAGAACATTAAATATTAATATTTAAACGCAACTGTAAATTAAAACGAGACTGCATCTCTATGCATAATTTATGCAGTATTTAACAGAAAGTACATTTTTATTGATGTTTTATAATTTCTATTTATAATTTATATTTCAATTTTAAAATACATTTTAATATAGTCTAAAGAAATTAATGTAAATGAAATTCATATTTGCTAATTTAAATTAAAATTCTACTATATAATACTTTTTTTTAATTAAAA